TGGTTTTTCATTGCGGGGCGAAAGAACCCCCCCCCCGCCGTCGGGATCAGGTCCCCGCTTCCCCGCACCCCTCTCCCCTCGCCCGTGGCGGGCCGACTTTGACCACGACCACAGCGGTCATGACCGTGGTGCGCGGTTGTGCCCGCGGTGACCATGGCCGCATGGGATTCGTAAATGGTCGGGCTGGGGTGACCCGGGCAGCCCGGTTAGTGGCCTAGAAAAAAATCCTATTTTGTGCACGGTTGGATTTTCCATATCTGGAATTAATCAGGAAATTTCATCCGGATTTGAAATTTCAAATGAAATGGGTGTGTCAGATATCCGGTTCTCTGATTTACAACCGTTTTTTTTGTGTATGTGTACACACCATCAAACAGACACATATTGACACATACACAACATACAGAACACGTGGTATACATACACATTTTTAACGAGGGGCTATATCCAATTGATAAATAGATTGGTTTTAGCCGTTAAATAATGATGGACAGGGGTGTTCAAGGCCAAACAACGAGTACGCATAAAATGAGTCTTAAAAGAGTTTGTTTTTTTCAACCAATTTAAAAATACAGGGTGCATGGACACTAGTCAACAAACTCGAAAACCCCAGCAAAAAGAAGAAAAAAAAATGTACGCCAGCCCCCGTACGCGTAGCGCACAAGTATGGATTCGTATGGCAATATGCTTACACGGTACTATCAAACGAATTGCTATGGAGCCCTAAAAAAAAAAAAAATTGTAAAGTCATGAAAACAATAAAGGAATAATGTGATTCGTTGGAATCGAGACCGCAAACATCACCTAAACACCTCCTTCCCCGTACACTACGCACACCCCCCCACCCAACCCCCTTAAAATGCCCCGAAAGTAAACCCCACAAAAAGTAATCTGCGTGAAGCCTTAACAAAGCATCATGAAAAAGTGAAGACTCAAACGAATACAACAACAAATTGAAAAAATGAATGAATGTAGAAAATTTCAATGCTAGACCAAAGTACATCGACAAGAGGTGGATAAGAGACAAAGCCAAACGAATGCCACGTAACGAGTAAGATAGAGGAATCGTGAAACCCTTTAAAAAACAAACATTAAATTTGAGCGCAATTTATAAAAGATTCTTAAAGTACGTTTTTCAGGTCTCCATAACGAGCAAAATTCTGCGTAAGGTTGCCTAGCACTGTATTCGGGTTCGGTGACTGAACCCGAACAAGGGCTGAAAAACACCGCAGCCGAATGTAAATATATACATCACAATAAATCTAATTTTATTTATAATGTATCTATATATATATTATATATAACCAAATAGAGGGATGATAGCCAGCGTTGTCACGCGGGAATCCCCGGGGCCCAAGCCAGGGTAGGGGTTTAAACCCCGGACCCCCGCCGCGGGGCTACCCGACCCCCGCACCCGCAAAAACAACCCCGGCCCTGCCCCAACCCCGCCACCCCCGCTCCCAGC